GGTGCCAGGGTTGGCCATGGCTGCTCTGTATGGACGATACAGGTATTCACAAATCTCAGAGTCTTTTATTAGCATCATTAAGTGTACTATGATTAAACCAAGCTGATGCAAATTCAGTTTCTCAAAGATAATCCTAATAAAGCAATTGTAAATTCATATAATGTGAAGAGCTCTCAGAAGTTATCAGGACATTGTTTACTATAATTCAATTTGAAGGACATTATTATAATCAAATTTAGATTAGCTCATGCATCTATATTTTGAAAATTGCAAATGTTTGTAAAAAATATAGCTGAATACTTGCAAACTCAGTATAGGATTTAGGAATTGCAGGTAAATTAGGTTTTCAATGAATAAATGAATCCTAGTCTTGCCCAAACTAGAATATTAAACTTTAACAGATTTTTTTACTGCCTCAAAACTAAGGAAGACTCATACTGTTCTATTAGCCTATACATCATGCTAGCATACAAGGATTCACAATGTTAGGTAAGGGTACAAATACCGTGAAAATCTTGATTGATTAGTTTGTTAAAGGAAAATGTTAATTATTCATCTGTATTAAGAATGGGGGGCTCACACTAGCAGTAGCACATGCAGTTAGTTCCTAGTGGTTTTGCTAATTAAAGGTTGAAACTTACATACTAGGTAAGACAGCATTACTCCATGGTCAGTTTATATTCAACTAAGTCTAATGCTTTTCTTGTTGATCAGAGAAGAGTTTCCAGTTAGGTTAGTATGGGTCTGTAGCCAGGTAACTAGAAGGTCTTGTGTATCTACCAGCTTCCACTTGTTGAAAGCTGGTGCCCTGAATCACCGCAGTCCATTCAAGATCTTCTTTCAAAGTCCTGCACTAAGAGAAAGAGTCCCTTTTTATTAGTGTGTACTAAGTTACTGTAACATTTATAGTCTATGAGATACATCTAAGAGAGTGGTGTAACAGTCTTATTTTACAGTTTCAATCTTAATTTGGCCAGAAGTTGTGAACTGTGAATCTCAACTTACAATAAACATTTTAGACATGAATGATAAAATGTGTAAGAGTATAAGTAAAGCCATGCTGTTATGTTGAGCTGTAGGGGACTCAGGTCAACAATTTCTGACATTGCCAGTGAAGAGGAAGACCCAATACTATTATGGACAACTGAACTCTTTTAGAATATTTTGCTGAGTTTACACACCTATAATATTTAAATGATGGAACTTAACAAAAAAAGGGATACAGATGAATGTCCATTTTGTATCTGTGTATTCAAAGTGTTTAGGATAGATATATAGTTACATTCTCTTAATGAATAGAGGGATTTGTTCTAATGGTGTTTGTAAATAGGATACCAAGTCCGCATCTTGTACAGCAATTAACCACTGGGAGGAATGTATGCAATGTGTTAATTATTGAGACTGTCCTACCAATTTGGTTTGAAACTGTCTCATTGCTATTTGTTTCTAAATAAAATTATGGAAAAAAAACCCAAAATGGTTAAGATAGAAAAAAAAGAGTCTATACACCTATATATATTTGAAACATCATAGGGAACATTTGAGCTAAAATCCTTGAAGTTCTTTGTTCAGATGAATATTAACGGAGGATAACTGATGAGACTTAACTTATAATTTCCTTGGGTTTTCGCTTTTTTATGTATTTAGTACAGAGTCTATAGGGTCTCACTACACAGATCGGACTCATAGTGATCCTTCTGTTTTCAGCCTCTTAAGTGCTGGGATTACAGGTGTGCTCCACTGCACCCAGTGTCAATCACCTTCTCAGTGCATCCTGCAGGCAAGGCCAGTACAGCAAGCTCATGATTGAACCCTGGTCCCTGCACTTTAATCCGCTGAGCAATCTGGCCAGCCCTCCCTTTGTACACTTTATGGGCTTCGGTCATATTGATGGAAACAGGAAAGCTTATTTTGTTTAAAATTTCTACACAAGTGGAATATCAGCTTTTATGTTGGATAGACCTAAATCAAACTGGGAATTAACTATGGTCAAGAAACTGCCCCACCTCAAGCTAGAGTAAAATACAGAAACAATTGCAGCTCATTCTATGTGCCGCCCTCTTCTCTGGTTGCAGCCAGGGCTGTAAGCTGAGTCCATTTGGTACATGCCCTAGATAGTACAATAAAGAGAGGTGATGGAGCTTCTGATGCTTGGAATAAATCTCACTTAAACTTTACTCCAAAGGCTCAATTTGGTTGAAAACACAAATCCAAAGAACCAAAAAAATGACCTTGTCCCTCAGTGTTCTTGGTCTTTTTAATTCTGAAATCGGTTGGATCCAAGGCATCTGGTTTAACATCTCTATTTTCCTCTTTGATAGTGCTGAACAAAATTGCCTTTAAAAATCATGTTATTTAATATTCAGTTGGGGCATCTTTCAGTACCATAATAGCAGGTTTGTACCAGCAGTTAAACATGGCTGATTAGTAATCTGGCTCTTTTAGATGCTTTGTGTGAGCCGGGCCACAATCTCCTCTTAGCAGGTGGTCTGTCAGAATGCTGTACGTGAGGGCTCTGAGGTGGTTTTATTTGTGTCTATTAGATAATAGCTCTGAAGCCATGGTCGCTGTGACTCTGGCAGACTAGAATCCAAAACAAAGCACAGAGCTGATTACCAGTGGGCCTGTTTCCAAGGGACCTGCCACAATCCTGCATAAGCACCAGGCCCTGTGCCCCAGTTGTGATTGGCCTTGTTGTTTGTTTCTGGTATCAGCCTGACTGTCAGTGCCACAGTGGATTGTATTTGTTTCCTCCCTGTAGCTTGTAGGCCAATATTTATTGAATGACCCAGCCGAATATGCTCTCTCTATAGCATTAAATAGATTGCCTCTAAGAACACTTTTGACACCAGCCTCTCTCAGCAAGGTGAAGTCCTTGTTGATAGATCTTGGCAATACTAGTCCTCTTGTCTATGTACCTGTGATGTCTAATGAGATGGTATAAACCTCTTGAATATGTTGCTACATTTGGACCTGGTTGTGTAGGAGAGGTTTCAAGCATTAGTCCCATTTTCAAATGATGGGAAGAATTAGAAGGATAAACTAATTGATCTGAGATCACCCAACCAATAAAAAGATCTCAGCTTTGTTATCTCTCCTTGACTTTTATTTGATACATACTTTTCTGATCTCTAAGTTGATGACGTGGTGCCCAGGCAAGAGCGGTAGCAAATACATGGGCATTAAAGCTACACAGCCCTTCAGTCATGTGTATCTCAGAAGGAATTCTTTGTTCAGGGGGATGTGCAGTTGTGGGCTGGACTAAAGGAAGCACAGCCGTGTCCATCACCTAGGGGAGAGGCATGTGACCAAGAGGCATGTGCCTAATATTAAGAAGTCTTGTTCAGGGAAGTGATACTTAAGGACAGGGCAAAGAGAAGGATTACAGGAAGAATCATAGGGCATGGAGGACTGAACCCAGTTCTGGTTTGATGGCCACATGAAACAGATTGAGTGGCTGGAAGAGAACTAGTGAGTGTTGGGGAAATAAGTGGAAAGAAATTCAAAGAGGAGTGAGGCCCAATAGCACATTAAGTGCTGTGGACAGGTGGAGACTGTGGATGTGTCCAGTGATACTGGGGCATCATTTCTTGGTGTATTACTTGACTTCTGATTTAGTTATCTGTAAACATTAAGCAAGACCTTATTTAGCCAGTTCATACTTTTTTGTTTTCTTTTTATCTTACTGTCTGTCTGTCTGTCTGTCTGTCTGTCTGTCTGTCTCTTACTTAAAACTGTTGTCACTGCATTTGCTTGGGTTTAGATTTCACTGGTGAAAAGAAATGATTAAGGTTTAGAAGAAAAGACTTTTAACACTACTGTATGCTTCTCTTTGGTAATTACTTAGGAACACTGCAGCTGAAAGCACCTCTTCCATTTGTGGTGGAAGAGTCATTCTGTTTGTTCATCTAAGAGAATTGTTTCTGCCATTCTGTTGGTCCCCTCATTGCTGCTGCTGGTGAGGAATGAATGCAAAAGCTGCTTGTTTGGAGAGCAGCCCTCCCCAAGGGATGGAGAAAGCTGAATTTCTTGCCACACTCTTGTACTTCTCCCAGACCCTGACTTCTAGGTATTGCCGCTCTGATTCACAGTTTTTTTATTTCTGAGTTCTCAGATACTGAAGTTCTATAAAGCTTCTGGGACACATGACAAACATTATATGGAACCAGTAGTGATGTTTCTGTTGTTTGCAATGAAAACAATCTCACAAATATATTTTTATGACCTTTATTTTTTTAAAGAGAGTACAAAATAGTATTAAAAAAGAAAAATCACAAGTGATACAGAACTTCACTGAACAAAGTAATATGAATTTCACAGTATTTGCTGTAATGCATAGTGTTGTCTTCCAACCAGTTATTCCTATTATCAGATATGTCCATGAAAAATTGGAAGAAGAAAGAAATACATAAGAAATTAAGAAGAGAAAAATGAGAAATAATTAAAAAAGAAGGCAAAACAAGTGAAGCATTATCTGCTCCTTTCCATAGACCAGCGGAAATGCACAGTATAGTTGTCCTAACCATCCTGCTTATATACATAGATAAATCTTTCCCCCACTCCCTCTCCTGTCCTTCTCCTCAACTCCGTAACTCTTTCCTTTTGAATAAGTTCATTCCCTTTTCCTACTATCTGCTGTACCCTTCAGATTCCATTTTCTTTTTCAAGTTCTCACCCGAAGGAGACAGTATGATGTTTGCACATGCAGGTCTGATTTATAGAAATATGTATTTTAAAAACATTGTTCTTTTTCTGTGGATGACTCAGGGCAGTTGGTTCTGTAGGAGAGTCAAGTGCTTGCTCTCTCACACTCTGGCTCAGAAGTAGAAAATCATTGCATGGCAGAAGGTGGAGAGCACAGCTCTGAGTGTGGTGCTCTCAGTTTTGGTTGCCATAGGAATGGATGATAGTTCATTTTGTTGAACTGCTATTCTGGGGGACAAATACTTGTGGTGATTAAAGTGATTTTGAAATCTCTGTCTCTCATCCTAATATCCCAGGGCTTCCAGCAAAAGTTCTCCTTCCACAGTAAAGAGATCGTGGCTATCAGCTGTTCCTGGTGCAAGCAGGCGGTAAGTTTGCAATGACATAAAACAATGCAAGTTCACATGAGTTCAGAACAGACTTTTGTCAATGTTTGAGTTCCTGTCCGCAAGTCATAGTTATCCTATTACTTCTCTTAGCTAGGTTCTTTGGAGGAAGAATGATAGTAAAGCTAGAGAACATTAACATGTACGCTCCAGGAGAAATTATAGAGATGTATTCACCCTTTCTTTTTTAATACATTGAAGGCTGGGATCAAAGACCAGAAAATCCTTTCCTTGGACTGAATCCAGGGCTTCTCACTCTTACAGTATTTTTTTCTTTTGCTACTAAACCATTGCCACTAAACTCTGTGATGGGAAGGGGCAACCTTAGGAGTAAGGCATCAGGCATCGTGAGAGTCTCTAGCACGGGTGGCTAGGCACCATGGTCTTCTGGTTTTGATGTGAGCGATTGTTTTTGTTTGCTTGTTTGAGTCAGGGTCTCTACATGTAGTTCAGTTCAGCCTTGAACTCACTATCTATCATAGACTGGCCTTGAATTTGTGGTAATGTTCCTGCTTCAGCCCCCTCGGTACTGGAATTACAGGAATGTGCCACCATGTCTGGCTCGAGTGACTGTTTATGGGTCTAAGTGTGAAAAGAGAGTGCTTCTTGCTTTCTTCAGGTTTGTGTGGTGGTGTAGTTGTCTTTATACTACTTGAAATGCAGTTTTTTAAAATTATATTTGTACATATGTTTATAAAGAGCTGATCATTTTCCCATTTCCTTTTCTTCTTTCATCTACTTTTTCTTTTTCTTTCTTTCTTTTTTTTTTTTTTTTTTTTTTTTTTTTTTTTTTGGTGGAACCGGGGATTGAACTCAGACCCTTGCGCTTGCCAGGGAAGCGCTTATTCTACTGAGCCATCTCCCCGGCCCCTTCATCTACTTTTTCTATCCATGTTTAGTGATTAACTCTTCTGTATGAAGCAAAAGCTGTATTTTTTTTCAGTTGTTTTGGTGCCTGTTCTTTCTTTCTTTTACTCTAACTTGGAAATTGATAAATGGTGTCCACCAGATGTGAGCTACCATTTACTTTTACAAATAAATTTTTATTGACATATAGCTATGCCTAAGTTATTTATTTATATGTCATCTGTGGTTGTCTTTGCATTTATGGATTATCTAGGGCTGCTTTCTTGCTTCATTGAGTGAGTTGAATAATTGTAACACAGACAAAGGACTCAGAAGCTGAAAATAATTACTATAGTTTATATAGAAAATGTTTACTGGCCTCTGTCCTTTTGAATGACCATATGACCCAAGACCTATCACCCCTTCCTTTCTCAAAGAACCTGAAGACAAAGGGTGTAGTGTTTTTCCTAGATTAAAGGTTAGCAGGTAACTTCATCTGCTTACACAAAACAGATTGAATTTGCCCTGCAAGCCAGCAACATTAAGTGTAAAACATCAGAAGATGACATTTTGGAGCATCCAAGCCATTTACATGGTGACAATTTCATTGTAGTAATCTCGCTAGCATAAATCCCTTTAGCTGACCTCCCGTGTCAGAAGAACCTCCTATGACCAGGAAGCTGCGTGCTCAGTTGTGTCAACATCCTGGCACATTTTGTGCTCTTGATATGTTGTTTTCTCTTCAGTGCCTTGTCACCTACATCCCCTCTGTGTGTTGGAGAGTATGTTTGCAAATCTTAGGACACCCTAGCTCTAGAGAGCCTCAGTCTCCACGACAGTGTTTCCATTCAGGGAGGATGGAGCTGATTGCCTGGGACCTCTAATGTTACCCACGATGCTGTCTTCTCAGCCCAGTGACACCCTACTGAGGGAACAGCATCATAGGCAGGTGGGCTCAGACAGGCTGTGCCTCCTCCTGTGTGTAGCTACCAGGAAAGGCCAAGATGATTTCTCCAGGGTCAGTGACTACAGAAAGAGACACACTTTACGGTCAATGTATGTGTCGTCTTCATTGATCTGCAGTCCAACTGAGTCTATAAAGTTGGTCAGTTCCACGTATCTTTGCATATATCAAATGTCCACATTATAGAAAGAGATTTTTATAAGAATTCTAGATGCAAAATATGTGACACAAATTACTACATAAGCTAGATTGTGTACTGTATAGTGTTGGTAATCTCATCAAGGGTAGCTGATAGCAGACAAACTAGTATGTGACCCTCCCTGGTAGAGGACGGAGAACACTGGGCTGAGAGCTGGGCTTCCTGTAGTTAGGTCTGGCCACCATCATTTAAAATTTGCAGGCTTGGATCTACCTCTTAGTCCACAGTCCAACTATAAGTTGACAGAGCCGATTTAGGCAATCTCAGAGAACCTTACTATTTTAGAAATACAGTGCTCATGTATTTGAGGGTTTATTTTAGTTGTTTAAAAAAAGTGGGAAAAAGGCCTTGAAATAATATTTCATGGGCTATGGATATATCTTAGCAGTCTAAGTGACTGCCTGGCAAGCTCAACGATCAGGGTTGGATCCTGGGCACTGCATGCCATGCCAGCCCTGGAACGCTGGTGTCCTTGCCGGCCACTGAAACTGGGCATGGTGGCACATGCCTGTAATCCCAGCACTGGGGAGGCTGAGAAAGGAAGATCACTATGAGTCCAAGCTGCATAGTGAGACCTTGTATCAACTTAGAAAAAATAAAAGTATTCTGTGCAGAACATTGGTAGCAGGGAGGGTTATTCATTATTTTATCATTCAGCATTTTGCATTTAATTGGCTGATTAGTAATTAGCCACTGGATCACAGCAAATTTGGAAGATGTGCAGAAAAGGAGACGAAGTATCTGGTGTTTTACAATAAAATTAGGGTGGTCATAAATGCCAGTTTTCCTGAGACAGTGCTAATTATTGTCTGTTGCTCTGATATTATTATTATTATCAGCAATCTCTTTCCTTCTTAAATTGTTCCAATTAAAGTGATAAATTATATGGCCACGGGAAGTATCATTCAAGTCGAAGCTGATGTTTAACTTTGCAAAAATCATTGTGATTAAAATTTAAGGTCCCTAATTGTTTCATAATGTTGATTTTATGTTTATTAGAAAATACATGTTACTGCAGGTCACTGTGGGGTTTCGGGTTAAAAAAAAAAGACGTGCTCATGTGATTGGCCTAAGGTCACCGGTTCCAGCTTTGCAGCTGGGATATCCAGTTAAGCTCCTCATACTGAGCTACTATTGATTATGAGTCTGCAATGCCTTCCTTCCTTTCAAAAGCAAAATGCTTCAGGTTTGCCAAGTACAATAGGGTCAGTGATTTTTAAGGGGTTTATAGGATCTCATAGAAATAACCTCCTGGAACTTTGTTACCTCTGGGATTAAGAATTTTCACAAGGAACAACCTGTCTTTCCTGGTGTGTCTAACCTGGGAAGACAACCTGGGAGGATTTACATCTCTGACAGAAAAAGGCAAGGCGGAGGGTAGGCATGAGCTTTCTGCTTTTCTGAATATTTTTTTTCTCCATATTATTCCTAATCATCTGAGTCTGTGACCAGCATTAGATGCAGGGAAACATTTGTGTACAAAATCAAGATGATTAGAACCTCTCGGAACTCTCTACATCTCTGTGTAAACATCCTACTGAAGAGTTAGTTCTCCAGGGCCTCATCCTGCTAGGCTGATTTCTTGTTAGCTGCTGTGGTAAGTTGGAGTGCTGGAATGAACTGGGACTCTGCTCTCCAGGTTCCCGAGGCTAGTCGGGTGGTGAGGAGATGCGTGTGTCCTTAGCGCGCGTGTGTGTGGGTCTGTGCGTGCAGGAGTGCGTGCGCATGCACAAGTCTTACGTGGACGCTTATGCCCTCTAGCCGCCCTGCTGGCCAGAGCTGCTCATTGGCCTCTTTTTCTCTGCAGTTTCACAATAAGGTGACCTGCTTCATGCTGCATCACATTGAGGAACCCTGCTCCCTGGGGGCCCACGCTGCCGTAATTGTCCCGCCCACGTGGATCATTAAGGTGAAGAAACCTCAGGTAACTGGCAGGACCCTCATGCTGCTGGGCCGGCACAGAGAAAGATCAACGGCTGCTACTTGCTTTTTCTCCCCCTTGACTAGACTCTGGATTCCTGCGACCTCTGTTCAGTCATCCCGTAGGTCCCACATGTGCTGCCACTTGCATCGCACTGACCCTTTACTTGACTCCCCCTGGGCTCCCTCAAGGGACCAGCGGCCCCGCACTCATGGAGGCAGATTTCCTGAGCAAGGAGGTCTCTTCCCAGTCTCCATGTGCTAACGATACTCTCTTTGACAGCAGCTGGCCTGAATTTCGCTGAGTGCCAGTGGTGGGTACCGCTGCTTCTTTTGCCGCTCTGCTCTTCCAGTCTGGGCATTCCCGGGGAGTGTGTTGGGGGCTGCTTGTGTGGGCTTCACGGTTTGGTTAAGATTTCTGCCACTTCCAACTGAAAGGCAGACCGTGAGTCATGACCCTTCCTACACACACCAGGCCTACCTGGCAAGCAACACTCTGCTCATGGTGAAGTACAATGTGTTCGCTTAGTATCTACTCTCCTCATGCGTTCTCCTCACTGTCTTTCCATCCTGGCCAGACTCAGCTTCATTAAGCTGAGAAGCGTGGTGGTTTCTGGACAAGTTCATTAAGTTCTTACATAAAAAAATATTTTTTCCTTGCACTGTGCATCCTAGACAGTGAAACCCAAGCCAAGGATGGAGGACTTCTAGTGCTACAAGGAGAGAGACAGCACTTCCACTAGGAGGCAGGAAGTCATGGAATTTCACACTGTATCTTTGGAAGAAGTGGTGGGCCCGGTTCCTGTAATCTCCAAAGTCTTCGTGCAGTTTATTTTCATTGACTCCATTCTACTTAAAAATTAGTGACTCAGGAATACTGTGTTGCCTTATGTTTCAAGTGAAATTTAGTCTCTGTTGATGAATGTTCAGGAATATCTTTCCCAAATTATAATCCATGGGAGCCCTTGGAAGAGTTTTTCGGGAAGCAAGTGTGATATCTGCACGCTAAAAGTGGGGAGTCAAGTCTTTCACTTTATATGCTGAAATTAAACAAGATATATTAAATACGTTGCCCAAGCAATTTATATATACATACCGCTGTCTGAGATTCAAGTGTGCTAAATTCCAATTTTCATTTTTAATTCTCTGCAACATGTCTACTTCTTTGTTTTCATTTCTTCCTATGATTTACTGACATCTCTGAGGTTTTATATGGTATATTAATTCAGTTAAATCAACACTTTTATTGAAAACTCAGATTGCATCAGGAAGTCGTCATTATCTCCTCCTCCTTCCTCTTCCTCTTCCTCCTCCTCCTCCTCCTCTTCTTCTTCTCCTCCTCCTCCTCCTCCTCCTCCTCTTCTTCTTCTCCTCCTCCTCCTTCTCCTTCTCTTATTCTGTTGAGCTATCTCTCTGGCCCCAGGAAGTCTTTTAAACATTGTGTTGCAGCACAAGATCCTTGCTCTGAAGATCACTAGAGTTATTTTAACAATTGGGGGAGCTTCAGGAGGACGTGGATTTTTTTTTTTTTTTTAAAGATGGGTGGGATTTAGGTCACTGAAGAAGGGAAAGAGTAGCAGGCAAGAGAACATACTTAGCAGAGGCTCCACATCCAAAACTGCTTCCATGAGGCAGGGAGATTAGAGGGCCGAGGTAAAAGGTGTGAAGAGACACTGACCAGAGAGGAGTAGGAGGCCTCTCAGGAGTGGCTGTGGAGGGACTGTGATAGACAGGGGCCTTGTCCTCGGAAGTGAAAGCAAAAACAGTATTTTAGATGGAAAAACTAGTAAGTGTAACGTGGGATGACTTGGTGGTGTGAGATTTTGAAAAACTTGAAACAGAAAAGTTAGGAAAAACCAGAAGATGAGTCTAATCTGCAGAGAAGTGTTAAGTTTACTCTTCTAAAATTTAAAACAAAAGCCTCTTCATTTAGAAATTTTGAATAAAATGAAGTTTTGTGTTGGATTCTCTGGTAATGATTGATTTTTCTATTTATCATTTGCCATTCCATATTTTCTCTTCCCTTTGAATTCTCTCTCTCTCTCTCTCTCTCTCTCTCTCTCTCTCTCTCTCTCTCTCTCTCTCCCCCCCATTTCTTTCTTTCTTGGGCTTTGCGTGCATCTATTAGAAGTAATATATACAAGTCCCTTGGACCCTTGGCAGGATCCCCTCATGATTAGATCCTGCAGTACAAATTCACTACCAGGGTGTTGACAGCTCCCTGACCACCAGGACCCCTCCGGTGACCTTCTCTTAACCACATCCCTTTCCTCCCAGCCTTATCATCTACTCATCTGGAGAACCTCCCCCCCCCACACACATACACACCAGTTTATTTTCCATTGCAAGAGTACGTTGGAGTAAATTTTAACTTGCAATTGAATCTATAAATCTTTTGTTTTTCTAAATCATATTTTAAAAGGATAATCATGTACAACTTTGCCTCACCCATCACAGTGAATTATTTATTAAAAATTTGTTGATTGCTTTCAACTGTCTTTTTTAAAATAAGTTTTTCAAATCAAAATCCAAAGTCTCAAATTGCCATTTGTTGACTATACTTTAAGTCTCTTTTAAATTTACAACACTGTCTCAAATCTTTCATGTCATATGTATGTTGAATAATTGGAGTTACTTCTGCTGTAGAAGTTGCCATACTTTGATTTTTGTCTAATTGCAGTCATGTTATGTTTTAAGATGATTTTTCTTATTATTCATATACCACATAAGCTAAAATTTATACGTAGCAACATAGATTCAGGTTTAACTTTGATAGAAGGAGTGCATGGGAGATGCTGTACATTTATACGTATTTTCATCAAAGAAACATAATATCAGGGCTTTTCAGTATTAGTGATGTCATAATGAATCAGTGAGATTGGGAAGTATCATCCTAATATGTTCATCATACTCTTTCACCTGTTGTGTTACTATTAAGGATTACTTCCAAGCTGTATTATTGCATAAGAGTAGCAAAGGGTGGTTTTTCAGTGTTTATTCCTTTTCACTTTTTAGTGTTGGTTTTTCTATAAAGAGGTCTTTCCCTTATTACTAAGAAATATATGGCAAATGATTGCCAAAGCACCTTAATCAGTTAATTTCCATCATATGTTGATGTCTTAGCAACATCTAAGCATTATTGTTGTTGCTTTTACAGATCATCATTGCAGGCTTCGCAGATCTTTTGTGGGCGGATGCACTCAGACACAATGCATTTCAGTTCGTTGTCCTCCTTCTTCTACTTGTTTTCCTTCATCTTTGGGCAGTTGTGTCCTCTTCCCAGGGCCTTCTATCTCTTACCATGGATCAGGAAGTTTTTGGTAGCTTCCTTGGTTGGAGGACTGACGGCATGCCCATAATCAACTTGCATGTGTTGTGTCCATACCTAGAATCATCAATTTCTCTAAAGAAACTTGGTTCTTTTTAATAGGAGGTGGCATTTGCAGAGCACAGTCTGGATGCTACAGTTCAAGTTTGTTATTCAGCATTCATTTTTTTTTTTCTTCTAGGATTGAGAGGACTGTAAAAATGAGGATAAAGCTAACGCTTATCAAATGCATTATAAGTATTAGGAATACGAGTGATAAGTACGTATTACGTATCATCTTAGTAACCCGTAAGCAAGTGTTCTCTCTTTTCCACTCAATAGCTGAGGAAATGAGGCACAGAAAAAAATACGTTGCCTACAATCATAAACTTATTACATAGTTTGAGATAGGTTGGAAACCAGGAGTGATGATTTTGAAAATCATGTTGTTACTGATGTGCCTTACTGTATCACTGTATCACATAACTGTAAACATTTTGACGATTTCTTTTGCTGTGGGTTCTAAAACTATCATGCGGGTTAAGCAGTGAACTGCATTTTGCTGAAGAGCTCATGTGGGACGAATTGAGGGAGGACAGCCTGAGAGTTTCAGAGCTCTGACTTTGGAGGCTACACTGCCTGGGTCCTTAGCCCTGATGTTCCAGTTACTAATTCATGTAACATTGAGCAGCTTAGCCCTTCTGTATTAGTTTATTGCACTCAAAGTGTAGCTGATGCTAGCTCCTAGTTCATAATAACACATGTCGTATAGCACCTGGATCATTAGAAATCCTCACTAAAGCCTACCTCTTGTTATCTTCTGTTGACTGTGAAGAGTACAGAGTATCAAATAAAGCCACAGGGAGTGCAATCAAAATTTACAGTAAATGTTTAAAATTTCATTTTCTTTCTTTCTTTCTTTCTTTCTTTCTTTCTTTCTTTCTTTCTTTCTTTCTTTTTTTCTTTCTTTCTATTTGGCATGGGGTCTCATTATGCAGCTCAGATTTGTAGTGATCCTCCTGTCTCAGCCTCCCCAATGCTGGGATTACAGGTGTGCACCACCACACCCTGTTTTGGTGGCCAGCATGGCTCGCCCAGGGTTCCTGGGCTGGCACAGCATGCAGTACCAGGGACTGAACCCAGGTCCTTGGGTTTTTCAGACAGGTGCTTAGACACTGAACTATCTCCCCTGTCCTAAAATTTAAAAAAAAAATTCGATGAATGATATGTTGCCATTTATTTCCTCAAAATAAAAAAAAAAAAAGATAAATTCAAGGCTTTTGTAGATAAGTGGATACAACTAGAGACTGTACTGGTAAGTAAAAATCCACATGTGCAACTGTCATGTAATCATGCTAGTGTGAGAACTAGAAAGAGTAATTAAAATTTGAAAGGTACAATAGATATTCCATTGTATTTCTGAATAGAATTTTTACTCTCACTTTACATACATGGAATGCACCCGTAAAAGCAGGCAGAGCCACTGTGAGCACAGGGGTGCAGAGTTTTACTACACGCAGCATTCTGCCCAGAATCCTTTATGATTTGCCTTCCTAGTGTAAAATGAATTGGGGAAAAGCCTATGTAAGTCCATATAAACATGTCACATTTATTTATTTATTTATTGTATTTTAGGGAAGGGTCTACAGGGTGCTCAGGGTGTCACTACTAGATTGGACTCATAGTGATCCACCTGTTTACAGCCTCCCAAGAGCTTGAATTACAGGTGTGCACCGCCATGCCCAGTCTCTTTTTTTTTTTGGATTTTTTTTTTTCTTTTCAGAACTGGGGACCGAATGATTTCTTTTGCTGTGGGCTCCAAAACTATCATGCTTAATAAGTGCATGCCAGGCAAGCTCTTATTCTACTGTGCCATGTTCCCAACCCATAAGTCACATTTTAAAGTACTGTCTATAGCCTGTATTATGGAAGTATCAATGTCTATATATCCATCTCACTCCTGATAGAAATATATTTCTTTCTTTCTTTTTGTGGGACCAGGGATTGAACTCAGGACCCTGCGCTTGCCAGGCAGGCACTTATTCTTCTGAACTGTCTCCCTGGCCCTGTATATAACTTCTAAGATAATATTTAAAAACAGTGCTGGATTTATTCCTTCTCAGCCCCAGTTTTTAAATCCCTTATGATTCAATAATCTTGAAATGCTGGGGACCTATGAAATGAAATAGCTAATTTTATGCAGTGGATGACACTATTCCTCAAACTTGCTCAAAGCAGTTCCTTTGATTCTGTTTCTTCTTGTGATCTAGCAAAATACGCCTCTTTACAGTGCTTGCAATCTTGAGCTGGGAGGGTGAGTTTTCTTTATTCTTTCTCTTGCCTCACAATCATCTTTGTTCTAGTGGTGCAATTCAGGCAGACAGGAAGAATGCCCTTGGATAGGCAGAGCCCATGTTTCTCCCGCTTATGACGTGTCAGAGCTTTATGCAGGATAGAGTGGGGTAAGACTTCCTTTGGGATGATGGAGTGATAAGTCTGTTCTTTTTAGATCTCATTACAGCGAGTTATTTGTGATTCCATAACCTGGAAAAATGCCTCAAGAGTAATAAGAGCTACACTCTCATTAACAGTTGAGCAATTCATCTATACCCATTCACATCCCAGGAAGGAGTCAGATTGACAGGGATTTTTTGGATAGGATTACTTTTGTAGCAAGGTAAGATTGCCCAGATACTTGGTCAAAGGAAACAAAAAGCATCTATTTTTTTTTCTGGGTCTTAATGAAAGAGTAAGCACAGAATGTGTATGGGGAGACTCCAGCTGAAATCAGAAAAATGCACACACCACTCTTCAGATAGTGTTGGTCTTGCAGAAGGAGCCCTTTGTGCAGTTCAGCTAGCTGCCCTTGTTGTAACAGACAGGCTTTGTTTCAGAACATAGGCTGAGTATTACAGGTCTCCTGCCTCTGTGGACAACAAGGCTTCATAATAACTTTTTTCATCACATTATCTTTACATTCTTGAAAAGCATGCTAATCTTATGGAACTTTGCAGCAGTCCTGATCCAGGCATAGTATGGGCACTATAGATCGGCTTTAGTGGCTGATTTCTCTTTTCACGGTAGGAACACAGCTCGTGTAGGCTTTCACACCCATCTCTTCCTCATTGAATTACACTGCCTTCTATGAGAAGCAAGGTATTTAGAAAAAGGGGATATTCATACACGGACACAAGAGTGCTTTGGGAATCTTGAGGTGTGCTGAGAAATTCCACACCATTCATTCTTGTTGCTTGGCCATGCTGCGGCTGTACACTGAGGTCTCACTAGCTGCGCTCAGCTACTGTAAGTCACCTGGAGCTTGATCTTTCCGCCTTCTGGTTCTGTGAAGCAAGTCTCTGATGCATTGGTCGCAGCAGGGTTGGGAGGCTACATCTGGGCTAAGAAGGCTCTTGTGCTCCTCTGTTCCCTATGAGAGCTCACATCCTCACTTGGCCTGTTTTCAGATGCCAGTGCTTATTTTCATGTATTTTTCAAACTCCCTAGGCCACAAGCCTGCTTGGTCATTGCACTCACCTGAAATACTCTGAATGCTATGGTCAGACAAGTGTAGAAAGCATGCGTTACGGTCTTGGCCTCATGCAGTAGAACTGTCTTTTAGGGTTTACTTGTTGATGCTCTCAGGGCCTGAGGGTCCAAAGTGTCATCCCGCACTTGGCATCCTGCGCTGCTCTGGGCAACGAAACAGCTCACACTACCAAGGAGCTAGCAGGGAGTAAGAGGAGCTCAGTAAGTGCTATGTGATACAGTGATATATACTCCTTGCTCAACAATGATGGAACCACTGCCCTGTGCCAAAGGTTCCTTCTAGGTGCCCTGAACAAGGGAACTAATCTTTTAGGAAGTGCCAACGGGATGGGGACCAAGCTCACTGCTTCACATAACTTTTTTCCTTTAAACTTCACCACAGTCCTGAGAAGTAGGTATGATAAGTTCATTGTTGAATGAGGAGACCGTAGTTTCCCTAGCATAACTAACTTAGCCAAGGTCCTGGATCTAGTAACAGGGAGAGGGAGGATTCCAACCGAGTTGACCAAACTCATGCTACCTCATGTTGATCTTCTGCTTTACTGTAGTGTGGACATCTCCTCATTTTGCTCTTGTTCGCTTCAAACGCAAGTTCTCGTGGCCAGCTATGTAATAGAACTGCCTGGAGAGGTTTTAAAATGTATTCATGCTTGAGCTTCACTCAAAAAAAAATATTTAAAAACAGCATTTGATGGGGCCCGGACATGAGCATTTTAAAACCTTGGCTGTGCACCTCGTTCTGCCTGCTTCAGTTTCCACTGTCGTTCTTGGGCCATGGAACTAGTTACATGTTTAAAGATGCTGCATAATTTTTCACACCTTTTACACGAACTGAAATTTAACAAAGAATACGCTTGCTTTCATAATGCAGAAGAGAGATGGGCATTGTAAAAGATCCGTTTCGTAGGAAATTAGACCTTGGAGACCAAAGTTCACGGAATGTGTTGACCACGGTGAACACGAGGAATCACCCGAGGTCTACAGCATCCCCGGGCTTCTGGACCTCTGCTGCTGAGACTCTAGATCCCAGAGACACTTTCTTCTAATCTGTTGGGGAAGAAACCCTTGGGGCATATGGTGGTTCTTGACATTTTCCCTCATCCTCATTCCTCATCGGTGAACCAAGACCCTATATTGACTTTTCCACCTAAATCAGAATAAAAGTAAAATAAAAGTGAAGGAAGTTGAATTCTTTTAACTTTTGTGTGTTAATGTTTGTAAGCTAAAGTTTATTTTGAATGCTTTTAATAAAAAAATACTTTAAAAAGTGGAATAAATGATACCTAAATTTCTTCAGGCTGTTTTGAAAACTGAACTGCTCAAACAAATGTGCATACCAATGTAAGTTTCTAAGCTAAGAATTCTACATTTCAGGCTCTCACCACTTGGTCAAACGTCTGTAATATGGTCAGTAATATTGTGCCTTTGTGAAGTTGCGGTCTAATTAAGTTTTGACTCTGCTAATTAAGTTTGGTTTTGCCTTGTCTTCAACCAGCAAGTTGTGACTGTTCTCTAAAAGTATCTGTATCAACTATTATGCCTCATAGGAAGTAGTTATTGAGTTGTAGCCCATCAGATTCTTAGAAAGGGAAAATAAATGCAGGGATCACTGTCTTTCAACAAGTTTGAGGCACTTCTGTGAGGAGGAGAAAGGAAGGATATTAGGGGAGGGAGGATTTGAGCTTGAGGGGCCATAAGAGAAAGAGAGAAAAAGCAGGGATTGCCAACCTACAACTCTTAAGTCACTAAAGGTGAGCCTGTCTTCTGGGTTTGTAAGCAGCTGGATTGTGGCTTTCCTCTGTGGTCAAGAGTCATGTTATGGAAATGACTAGAACAGACCATTAAAAAAAATGTAAGCAAATGAAAGAAAAAAAAAAAAAACACATGAAAAATGGCCTCCTTTTTTACATTTCTACATAGGTGATCTCCATACCAGGAGATGAACTTGAACTTGGTTGGGCGGGAGACGGACCTGGTTGGGCGGGAGACTGGAGCCCCTCAGAGAATTTGGGATTCTTCCATTTTTACTGGGAGGGTTGGCAGGTATAACATGTGTTGTTATGTGAGTCCACGAGAGCCTCTGGGCCCCAGCTCCCTGCCCTCCATGTGGTGGGGTTCGTCGCTCACTCTGAAGCACTCGACTGGTTTCTGTCTGTGGCTTACCCATGAGCAGTGGCTTGGAAGTGTCAAAGCATGAGAAGCATGCAGTCTACAGCATGTGCTGCCGTCCCTGCCACATGGCCCTGCATGGACACATGCCGCCTGTTGGCCCCCAGCTCAGCATTTCCTTCTTCCCCTACAGAACTCCCTGAAGGCTTCCAACCGGAAGAAGAAGAGAACAAGTTTTAAAAGAAAGGCCAGTAAAAGAGGAGCCGAAGTAAGTGTCTCCCAGTTATGACCCTGGGAAAGACAGCTTCTTTCCTAGAGCTGAAAATGTGTTAGTCTTGTAGTTCTCACCACTTTTTGCTCTCTTTTCTCGTTCGCTACACTCTATTGTGGGATATTTTCTGCCCTAAATAAGTATGTATAAACACACAGCAGATCTGCTTTCTGCCACTCCAGAGTCAGAGCATGTGTGTTTGTCTAGAAATGGTGTCAGATAGAAGCTGAGAAGATACAGAAGGGAGGATAGACTCAAGACAGCTTACATTTCTGGGGGTCTTAGAGCACACAGAGGAAAATCAAAAGCCTGGTTGAATGTTTCGGATGGATGGTGATGGCTGGCTGTGGTTCTCAGCCCTCTGCTTGGGGGTTGCTTCTGCAGGGTGAATACCTGTACTCACAGCACCACTTGCTTCTCCCAGCAGGAAAACAAAGGCCGCCCTTTTGTGATCAAGCCCATCTCGTCACCTCTCATGAAGCCATTGCTTGTATTTGTGAATCCCAAGAGTGGAGGCAACCAGGTGAGTCATTTCTCACAAGTGCAACTGAGAACATTTGTTGATTGCTTGAAGCCGCCATTCACAGCACCAGTGAACGTAGTGTCAGGGCCCTCCGCCACTGGCAGATGACTGGCTTCTCAAAAGAAGGTTAACATTGCTTCAGTGGGGTTCAGTGGATCACCCCTCAACTTCTGTAAACGACTACCACAGACACCCTCCAGAAACCACTGCTGACATTTTCCTACAGACATCCAGGAAAGAATATTCCAGAATTTCTCCTGGATACCATATTTCATGGGTTCTCACTTCTTACAGTCAGAGAGCTATCTCCAAACTTATCTTTACTTCTCTCTATTGCAATTTAGTCACTGTCCTCAGAAAGGAAAATCAACAGCATGGTTGAATGGGAAGAGAACAGTAAATACTACCAAGCTGGTAGAAAATATCATTTTGTAAATATTTCATTTGCTCCCTGTGTAAATCCTTTAGTATAGTAAATATGTATCTTGCCTGAGAATAAACAGATAACCTTACAAAATTCAGTGTAATGCTATGCCTAAAGTAACAACAGTGTTTGAAGAACAGAACTTGTTCTCAAATCCAGGTCTTTGTCTCTGCCCCAGTTTCTACCCTCTCTTAGCTTCCTTAACAGTGTTCTTTCTTTATGTATTTTGTACAGAGTTTACAGGGTTTCACTACACAGATCGGACTCATAGTGATCCTCCTGTTTTCCCCTGGGATTATAGGCACAGTTCATGACACCCAGTCTCAATACCTGTCTCAGCACACCATAGGGGCAGAGCCAGCATGGCACACAGGGGATCGACCTCTGGTCCCTGCAACTGTCTAAGCAGGTGCTTTAGTCTGCTGAGCTATCTGGCCAGCCCTCAGTGCTCTTTTTTTGATTGATACACGGTGTTGCTATGCAGTTCAAACTTGTAGTGATCCTCCTGTGTCAGCCTCCCTAGTGCTGGGATTACAGGCATGTGCCACCACGCTCAGTTTCAGGCCCAGCGCTGCATGTGGTACCAGGGATCGAACTAGGGACCTTGTGCTTGCCAGGCAGGCACTTAGATTGCTGAGCTATCTCCCCAGGTCATCAGTGCTCTGCTGAGACTTTGGCTTTCTGTTATTTTTATGTGAATTTGTCAATTTGCATTACATTTACAATTTACATTCTGAGACAAGATTCTTTGCAGTTTCACAATAAAAGCCTGGAGATTTGAACTTCTTACTCCATGCACAGAGGCAGAGTGAAGATTGACTCAGAGTTCAAATGATACTATTATTAAAGATAAGGAACATTTTCCAGAATGCATTAATTACAACAAAACTTCTTTTAAAAGCACTTATGATTTTAAGGAAAATATTCCCATTTCTTCTCTTCACAATTGATGACACCTTGCTGCGTTTACTCACCTACAATATTTAAACGGAAATGGAATGCCCATCTGTGACAAAACTAAAGAAAAAAAGGGGACACAAATGAAGGACCATTTTGTGTCTATATACAAAATAGGATAGCTATACAGCCACTTTCTCTTAATTCAATGAGAAGAAAGATTTATACTAATAATGTTTGGACAGGATATCATGTCTGCATCTTGTACTCTGAATAACCACTACGAAGAAAACTATATGCAGTCTATTAATTCTTGAAACTGTCCTATTAATTGGTTTTGAAACTATCTCATTGCTATTTGTTTCTCAATAAAATTAATTTTAAAAAACTTAAAAAACTATTATCAGCACTGCAGAGAACAGGAGAAGAAATAGGATGCAAATAAACAACCCTTCCCAGTTGCTGCATAACGCCCTTCCTTATCGTAGTGTTGGTGGGTCTACAGCTCTCCGCAGAGGAGGACCTAGGGACAGGTTTCTCAGGCATGACGTTCATTCGCCATAATCCATACCCGCGACCGGGCTGTTCTCCTTCCAGCCCATCAGTGCTGGGGCTGTCAGTGTGGAGCACAGAAGCAAGTGCAGCGCATGCTAGTGGCTTTCATTCTGGCTACTTGAATGTCACGTGCTCATTAGTGTCAACTGCGCTTTATCCTGGTGGCGTACATGCACTTAAATCTTTCCAAGATTTTTTCCTGAAAGCACACACAAGCTTGTGAGTTATCCTTGCCTTTAGGGAGCTGGCAATCCAGTGAAGCTCTAGCTTTCTCCGATTCCAATCTCTTTGTATTATGAATGGAGGGGACTTCAGAGACAGCTGATGTTGCTTTCTGTTTCACTAAAGAGAAGACAAGTTGAGGGAGCTTAGGTGAATTTTGTAAGAACATCGTGTTTGTCAGTGACTCAAAAGGCAAATGGAAAAAATAATTCAAATGACGTGCACTGTGGGTGAAGTCTAAATTGAGTGAAGCAGGCTGGAAGTGCGGCGCATTTGCAGATCCAAGCTGTGACTTTGAGTGACAAGGAAATTATGATGCGGAAGTGGCTGAGAGTAAGAAGGACCCCACTAAGTTACATGGAGGAGAAAAGACAGTACCCACCCCAACACTAATCCTAACCGTAACCGTAACCCTAACTGCAAGCCCAGCCCTAACCCTTTCCCTTCTGCTTTCTAGAGTGGCAGGGCCTGGAAGATAGCTCCATGGCATAAGCACCTGGCTGGCAAAGCACAAGGTCCCGAGTTCAATCCCCAGTACCACACACACACACACACACACACACACACAAATATAGACTGGCAAATTTCTGCTCATCGTTCTAGGTCAATAGTGCCTTTCTGAACCCTTACTCAAAATGAATCACACTCATCCCTCTACTCCACTAGTCCCTGGGACATATCTGTACTATAGGAATTGTAACAGAATGTTCCCTGTGTCTATACTGGTAAGGTCCAAGCTTCATAATACAAGGGATGCTGGGGAGATGGCTCAGTGGCATAAGTGCCTGCCTGGCAAGTGCAAGGTCCTGAGTTCGATCCCTGATATCTGAAAAACAAACAACCAACCATAATACCACAGATGATACCTTCAAATCTTTGATTTCTAGTACATGGCACAAACCAAACAGGTAATTGAAAAACAGTGAAGGTAAATAAGAGAACAGATAGGAAAACTCATTTCAAAGATGATATGGCTGGTAGGACACATGCATTAACGTTATTGGTAGTGTGATTAAGTGAAGGTTAGTACCAGCCTATAGAAATGTATCTTAAAAACTTGACAGAGGATTTTGGGCTTATGCAATGGAATTTAGGTTTTTGCTGCTTAAAATATTTTATGTTTTGTATTTTAGTTTTTTAAAAAATACTATATATCCCCGGTCTAACTATCAAACCTCCAGCCCCCGCATCTGCCTAAGCAGGCGCTTTAATTCCCTGAGCTATCTGGCTGGCCCTTAAAAAAACTATACTTTTTAAAGAGAGTACAAAGTAGTATTAAAAGCAAAAAAAAATCAGTGATACAGAATTTCACTTGACAAAGTAATATAAATTTCACAGTATTTGTTGTAACGCGTTGTGTTGTCTTCCAACCGGTCATTCATATCACCAGATGCATGCATGCAAATTTGGAATAAGAAAAGAAAAAAAGAAATGATGAGAAATTAAGAAGAGAAAAAGTACCAACAATTGAAAAAAGGAGACAAAACAAATCAGCATTATCTGCTCCTTCTCACAGACCAGCAGAAATGCACAGTACAGTTGTCCGAACCATCCTGCTTATATATACAGATGTATCTCTTCCCCCCACTCCCTCTCCTGTCCTTTTCCTCAACTCAGTAACTCTTTCCTTTGGAATAAGTTCATTCTCTTTTTTTTTGTGGGGGGAGGGTTGAACAAAGGTAAAATGAGTAAGTTTAATGTGCAGAAGTTCTTATAACAAGTTCTCCCCTTGTTAAAGTGGAGATGCTGCCTTGTAAGCCAGGCTGAACTTATGCCTCCTGGTTAGAATCTCTGCCCTGTCCTGCATTCCCTTCCCCTTCTCTTTCTCCTTCCTCCTTCCCCCCTTCCCCTTCCTGCTCCTCCTGTCTTTGTGGCATTGGGAGTTGACCCAACGCCCACCCACTCCACTACTACACCCCTACTCCGCTTGTTGAGACGGGCTCTCCTAGGTTCCTAGGTGGCACGGGTTACCATGGGATGCATCCGGCAAGTGTAACGCAGTCGCTTGTGTGTGAGAGTATTGAACTTCAGGCATACTCCATGGCAAGTAGGAAGCAGCTGGATTCACTGCTGGCCTCAGGAAGTGGTGCCCAGAGCAGGTCTGCGCAGGCAGAAACACAACTCGAGCAGAGAAGTGGTCCTGGGTGACGGGAAGGCAATAGCACCGCATGGAGGTCGCAGCACAGAGCAGCAGCCTCCAGGTCACTAAGCCTTCGAGTTTGGCCACCCTCCCCCAGCCTTGAGGTGTGTGTGACAGGAATGATTGTCAGGGCTCCTTGCCCAGCAATTCCCCTGGGTCTAATTACACAGGTGAGATGTATCGGCTGGTCCTGAACCCTGAACAAATTTGGAGAAGGGTGCGGGTGACTGAAGGTCAGGCTGGGAGGGTCAGAGTTTACCTGGATCTTTGTTTTGTCATTCTCTAATTCTCCTGGGAGCCTGGGAAGAGGAGTGGCCCTAGGGTGCTGTTTGAACCTAGGGGTTGGAAGAGCTCAGCCTTCTCAGCGTCCCTGTTTTAGCCCTGCTACCACCACTCTAGGGTCTTGCGCTCCTACCGCTGCTTCCTTAGAACACAAGCCATTCTACTAGAGGATAGAAACAAACTTTTTGCTTATTTCCTGATTTTTGCCTTTTAACAAATTTGCTTTTGAACCTCTAAGTTCAAAAACCCCACCATTTAGTACCCTTTCTGAAATGAAGGCTTTCAACTTTTTTAACTCTTTAACAAACTTCTTTTTTATTCTTCTACAAGGACTATGTCGCCATCTACTGGCAAGAAATACCCGCAGCTGAATTTTCGATATTCCAAAGGGCTATATTGAAATCAATTTCTGTGTCCTTTCAAAAGATGTATTCTTCATTGTGCTTTCTTGAAATGTCACAGTATTGTCAATAATTGTCT